AACCTCAAACAGTTCTTGAAAATGGTCATGTTACGCTCTACTGGGACCGATCTATTATCACGGATAGGTGTAATGTTGCCAATTAGCCTGATATTGTGATAATAGATCGATCTGCGCGTCGAGCAGTATTGGTTGATATCACCATTCCTCATGACGAGAACCCCGTAAAGGCAGAAAAAGGACAAATTAATAAAATATTTAGACCTGGCCCACGAGACTACCGCCATATGGCATGTTGATTCAACTATCATTGTTCCAATAGTTGTATCAGTACATGGTTTGATAGCGAGAAGCTTCGAACAACATCTTAAGGAACTCTCGTTATCCAACTGGGTTAGGGGACTGATACAAAAGGCAGTTATCCTGGATACGGCGCGTATTGTGAGTTTCTTACTCTGAAGCCCTAATCACTGGTGGCTTGTGTCGTAGACACCGCCATCTGCGGCAATCAATTTTTTTGTATTGTGTTTTAAAAAAATTGTATTTTCGATAATAATAATAATAATAATAATTAAACTTAGGTACACAAACATGTTGAAGTGATACATCATTCCTTAAAAAAACACATATAAGTATCGTGGCTTTATTGCATAAAAAAACAGAGAAAAAATATTAGGTTTTAAAAGTAATTGCATTTTATTTTGCTTAATAATACAAAAAAAACAAAAAATTTGCACGAAGATAACGAGATTTATTACATACCTACGTATGTTAATTTTAAAAGGAACTCTGAAGATATTTGTAGCATTTATATTTGATTTCTTAACTAGAAAATTCATTTGTTTGCCATCAGTCAAACGTAACGTTTTAAGAAGAAGTCATGATATCCTTGTTATTATTTTTGTATATTTTATTTTCAATCCTGAAAACACATACTTTTATCGTACTATTTCTTTTCTTTTATATTCCTAAGCAACTTTCGCCGCTAATCTAGGTTGGGATTCTAATGAAGCAAGTAAAATACGGTTTTCTACCCTGTGCTCTATCTAAAAATCCTGGAGTGGTTTTGGTGAGTAAACTTTGTCTAATTTTACTGTTAGTTTATTGTGGCCGAACATGTGGCACACCTGTCTGGAAATGGCTACCGGAGCCTATAGATATCACAACGAGAATATCTCCACCCACATTGTGCTCGTTTGGATTATGTCGATTGGATTATGAATGGAAATGTCGGTTGGATTATGTCAAACTTTGTGTAACGGCCGACCGACCAATACCAGTATTACGAAAACACATCTATTAAATAGGTTTATTTTTATTACACAAATGATTCCTTTATCGTGGAAATTGTTCGAAAATAATTCTGTTCATTTGTGTTAGTGGCATTGTTCTACGTATTTTCTTATAAAAATAGTAAATACCATTCTGTGGTCTTCGAGCTCCGTCATATTAATGCAGTCAAAACAATGACATAAGCAAAAAGCACTTCTAAACGAATTTCATTGAAATTTATAGAATTTAATAAAAATTCTCAGAACTGAGTGATTATAACAAAAACACAAATTCACCTAATGACGTGTTTGTTAATCCATCATCTGCTTGATACTTTATAATTTATTCGTTTTTGATATTTCATTTCAGGCTGTCCAATTTCTGTATTGACATTTTTAAATCCATCATCCAATATAAAAAGTTGGACTTTAACACTTCTATATTAATTATTTATTTGAGATGGAGACATAGTAACATAACATTCACGAAATAAGTGACTTATTTATTAAAAAAAAAGGTAGCAATAGTATAAGAGCAAAGACCTAATTGATTGACAGCATGCGTAGAAGTAGTTATTAAAGAGAAAATAGGTTTACCACATTTATACATTAACACCAAATTGATATCGATGAAAAAAAAGCAGTAGATAACGTCAGAAATGATTGCGCGCAATGTTTTAAGGTCGATAGGACGTCGGAGTCAAGTTATAAATTTGGCAGGAAATGAGCGAAGACGAACCGCAAGAAGCAACTATTAACTTGAGAAATTGTTGAAGTGTTTGAATGTCAAATGTTTTGCCAAACGGTTAAAGAATAAAGTTTTTTCGGGTATTAATCGACTGTTTGATATTTTTAAACACATTTGCCATATTTTTTTATTTACAAAAAAAGCTTCTTGTATTACATTACGTTCATGATGAAAGCGATCTACCAAAGTATTTTTCTGCTTCTAATTTTAAAATGTACACTTCGTTTTTGTTTAAATTTCAAACTACAAAATATTTAGAATTTGCTAATTTCCGGTTGACTTTTTTGACGACAAAAAAACGCTAGCTCTCATATATTTTAGTTGTTTAAATGTGGTTCTAATGTAGTCAAACGTCTGCTGTTTTGATCTGTACTCATTTTATATTGCATTTGTGGCAGACGAGGAGCATACGGCTCAGCTGATCATGAATGGTAACCGTCGTTCATGGGCATTCGCAAAGTCGGAGCAAAGCCAAGCTGCTCTACCTACTGTTAAGTAATCTCCACAAGCCTCGTTTGAAGTAGGATATGTCAGTAGTCTGCCCTCTCTCGTTTGGTTTGTAGCAGAATTGTGACCAGATCGATTCATAGTAAAACCAATCAATACTAGTAGGTTTCTAATTCCAAGTTCTATATATGTAAAAGACAATTACGAGACTCTTCTGAAAGATTCATTCGGTACACATAGAATACTGTGATAGTAAGCTCATTTTAAACAAGGATTATTAGATAGAAAATGCACAAAATAAATGTTTTTTTTAACTTCCACGGTACTTTTCCTATTAATTGCAATGGTGCATCAGTTAAAATGGATCAACATTGAAAATATTTACAACAGTGAAGTAGCTTTATCTGATCTTTCTCATTTTCTGTTAACGTCGTTTAAAACGTTGAAAAATTATAAATAATATATAATTTACTTGAACACTGTCAAAGGTATCTGGATACAATTTGAGATAGCAAAAATGTTTATTCATTACAAGTGTGTACGAGTAGACAGTGTTGAAAGTTTTATTTTTATTTTTTTTATTGCCCTTGTAGGCAGACTAGCATACGGCCCACCTGATGGTGAGTGGTTACCGTCGCCCATGGACTTCAGCAATGTCAGGGGCAGAGCCAAGCCGCCGCCTACCGCTTAATACTCTCCACAAGCCTCGTTTGAAGAAGGACATGTCGTAGCGCTCGGGAAACACCGTGGAGGGGAGCTCATTCCATAGCCGGATGGTACGTGGCAAAAAAGACCTCTGGAAACGCACTGTGGATGACCGCAGTGGCTCCAGGTAGTATGGATGAACTCTACTCCGGTGGCGGGCGGTGCGATGGTAAAAACGAGATGCCGGTATCATCTCGAATAATTCCTCAGAGCACTCCCTGGAAATATTATCTTGGAAATATTCCAAATTATAATGGGGAAAAAAGCACATTTATTAAACAGCAGTCAATTGGGGGCCAATTGCAAGTACCAGAGAGTATGAAAACAACAACGAAGATACCACTGAGCTTGATATTTAAGGTTATATGATAAATGTATAGAAAAAAAAAGCTCTGAGATCTGTATCTCAAATGTTCAAGCTTAGAGGGTGGTACTTGAAAGGGGACCTTTGCCGCAAATTGAGTGTTATTTTATACAATTTGTTTGCTGTATGTGAATATTGACATGAGGTACATTTATTGGAGTAGAGTGTATTTTCTGTTCAGCAATAAATCAAAACGACTATGACTGCGGGCTTTTTATGGGGAAAAAGGCAACACACGACTTACATTGGCATGATGCCTGTCCAACTCTTCAAACCGGAACTCATAAATGAATTACAGCAATAAACTTTTTAGGTTTTTGAGATATCAAATATTAGTAGTGATAGATATCATAGAACAGATTGTTGTTTATGGTTCATTGTTGTATAAGCTTTAGCTTATATAACTGCAAGGTTATCTTGAAATCGTTGTAAGTGCGATTCAGGCTTCTTTTTTTTATTGCTTAGATGGATGGACGAGCTCACAGCCCATCTGATGTTAAGTGGTTACTGTATCCCATAGACATATACTACGTAAAATGCGCCACCCATCTTTGAGATATAAGTTCTAAGGTCTCAGTATAGTTACAACGGCTACCCACCCTTCGAACCGAAACGCATTACTGTTTCACGGTGGAAATAGGCGGGGTGGTGGTACCTACCCGTGCGGACTCCCAAGAGGTCCTGCCACCAGTGATTACGCAAATTATAATTTTGCGGGTTTGATTTTTATTAGACGATGTTATTCCTTCACCGTGGAAGACAATCGTGAACATTTGTTGAGTACGTATTTCATTAGAAAAACTTTTACCGGTTTTTTTTTCTATTCTTTTGGTGTATGGCTCTAATAAAGATTAAAAACAAAAATATATAGTTCGACTTAATTTTAGATATTATATGCATCGCATGAACTGATGTCAAGTCAAGTGCGAGCACGTGTGGTCAATATGCAACTGTTCTGCTGGGGTCGAGGAGCACCAAACCCAAAAAAATCAGTACCTACAAAAATACTAATCTGTATATTCCACCCCATGAAATAATTACAAAGAGAGGCACAGATACAACTGATATGTTTTTTTATTTATTTCTTAGAGGGGTGGACGAACTCACAGCCCACCTGGTGTTAAGTGGTTACTGGAGCCCATAGACATCCACAACGTAAATGCGCCACCTGCCTATGAGCCATAAGTTCTAAGGTCTCAAGTATAGTTACAACGGCTGCCCCACCCTTCAAACCGAAACGCATTACTCCTTCACGGCAGAAATAGGCAAGGCGGTGGTACCTATCCGCGCGGACTCACAAGAGGTCCTACCACCAGTAAAAATTTGTTTGTTAAAATGTTTCATAGTGATTAAATTTAATAAATTCACTCAACTCAAATTTTTCGTTCGGAAAGTTTAAATAATTCTAAAACTCAAAGATACGTCGTTATAAGCCGGAACAAGACAAACATTACCGCTTGGTGATGTAAATAAAAATGACGGCACATTTAACAATGTTTATACTTGTGTTATATTACGAAGATTTCCCGCCCGCCCCCGCGTTCTGAAGGCGGACGAACGCATCCACACCGAACGCAGTTCACTTGTTGATACCGCGGTGGAAACCCGCCCAAGAAACTAGTTTAGAAACCAGATTTCGCCTGTACACAATGCCTGTACGTAAGCATTATTCTTTAGAATTATCTAACAAAGGCGAGCATAAGCATCGTTATAATCGTGTAGAAATAAAATATTTCTGTTTTAATAAAGAAAATACAATTTTTTACTTCGTTAGATTTTCCTTTTTCAAAATGCTTTTGGTTTTCTTATGGCACATATAAAACAAATCAAAGAGTATGTAATTGGTTCGTGATCGTGTTAAGCTTTGATTGATTTTTAAAACATTTATAATTAGCTTTTAATTTTTTATCATATTTGATCATTATAAGATTTGATGAAAGATTGAAAAGGCAATTTTAATCATTTTGCGTAGAAGCCAAATTGTTTCATAACAATGTTAATGCAGCGTAAAATATTGAAGAGAAAGTGTAATAAATAACAATACTATTTTGATAAAGTCGAGTGCTGTTTGACGTCAATGATCATTGGATACGCATACACAGCTGCCCGCACTTATCATGAAATGCCTAATAGATTACAACCTATTTTCTTCCCAAAGAGATTTATTCTCTAATTAATTTTCTTTGCGAGGAGCTTAATATAACGAATGTTTATGTTCGATAATATGGATAGGGGACTAGAAATTAACTTAGTTTTAGTTAGTACGAGAACCCATTGACGACACAAAGTGAATGAACCCTGATACTTAAAGACCAATCATTTGCATCAGAAGATAGGACACCTTTGAACTGAAACTGAATATTTTCCCGGCAATGAGAGAGAAAACGGTGGTAACTACTGCTCACTCATAATATGTTTACTGCGGTTGCTAATATTGGTCTATTATTTATGATGTTGTTATTAATTTTAAGGATGCGATGTTACATGTACGACAGGAGTTGAATCCGCTTTATAAATGAGCAGTTGATTCAATTATTTTTAATCGAAATAATGGGAAAAAGTACCCGATTTAGTGACATTACGAAACACTCCAGACGCAACGCTTAATCGTACGGATTACAGCAATATGTTTACGTTAACGATCGCGTTATTTCGGGAGATGATGCTGGAATAAGCCAACTAACCAACGTACGAGTTGGCACTGGAACGAACGTTTTATGGCCAACGTTCAAGACTTGCATGTTTATGTTTCTAGGAACAGAAAAAATATTTTGTACCTACTCACTTAGTGACAATAATTCATCTATACTTCTATACTCATATTAAAAAGAGGAAAGATTTTTTTGTTTGTTTGTATTGTGAATAGGCTCCGAAACTACTGAACCAATTTGAAAAATTCTTTCACTGTTTGGAAGCTACACTATTCCCGAGTGATATAGGCTATAATCTTTTTTGAAAAAGATTAGGGATCTTTACTAAAACTTCAATAATGTAACATAAGGTGTAAAAAAATTACCTAAAATATTCTTTACTTCGCGTACCCTGCGAAAACTATTGATGATAGAATAAAATAATGTACTACGACTTTGTTAAACACATTATTATTCACAAAAAGTGTCGCGACAGCATATGACTACCTATTATAGTTATGCCGTAATAAGTGTTCTTTTATTTAAAAAAATAAAACAACGTCAAATATCGTTGAAATTTTTGTTAAAGACACGAGCGGAGCCGGAGCGGGGCGCTTGTTTAAAATATGTCATTCAAACGACTTTCAAGGCGATTGTTTTGATGAGTGTAATGCCAAGATTTTATTTCATGTATATTTATATAAAATTGCTAAATTTTAGGCCAGAAACAAGGACCAAGAACAAGAGGTTCTCACTTGGATCTCTGATGTTTTGGGAGAGCCGCTACCAAATGGCGCATACGAAGACGTGCTTAGGGACGGTGTGATCCTTTGCAAATTGGCCAACAAATTGGCTCCTGGATCAGTGAAAAAAATACAAGAGAGAGGGACCAACTTCCAGCTCATGGAGAACATTCAAAGGTAATTGCAAAGAGGTGCAATGCCAAAAAATTTAAATTTCTAAGTAATTGTACCTAAATGATACAATAAAATATTATAATTAATGAATTCACATAAATTTGTACATTAGCGTAACCAATCATCGAGTAAATAAATCCAATAAAAATTAATTTTAGTCGCATCAAAGCTTCAGTGTTTGATAAACTCATTCAAATACATACATTGTAAGAAAAATGATTAAATCATTATTTCATAATGTAGCATGCGCAGAATCATTATATCAAATTACATATGAAAACCAGCGTTGTATATGTATCATTCCAGGTTCCAAGCGGCAATCAAGAAATACGGAGTACCAGAAGAAGAAATATTCCAAACCGCCGATCTTTTTGAGAGGCGTAACATTCCCCAAGTAACATTATGTTTGTACGCTTTGGGAAGAATTGTAAGTTCAATTATTATTGTGGAACTACAAATATTTGTAACTTTGGGATTAAATTTGATATTTATGTTTTTTGTTCTAGACTCAAAAACATCCCGAGTTTACAGGACCTCAGCTAGGACCTAAAATGGCTGATAAGAACGAACGTACCTTCACGGAAGAACAACTTCGGGCCCACAACGCTGAACTAAACCTCCAAATGGGCTTCAATAAGGGCGCCTCCCAGTCCGGTCATGGTGGCTTCGGTAACACCCGCCACATGTAAACTGCTTCTAAATTTTTCCCAATATTTTCCACATTGATATCAGTATTCGTGCATGGAAGAATTTGGTTGAATGATTTTTTTACTTTCAAAATTATCTTGCCGATTACGCTATGTCAAAGATCGTGTGATAGATTTTACCTAATATATTTTAAGTATTAGTCAACGGCTTTTGTTACATTAATTTTCGTTTCTACACTTTAACTTAATGTAAATATTTAACGTTTTTAATAAAGGATAATTTCTAAATAGAAGTTTTTATTTTGACTTGTTGAATCTTTTTGGCGTTAGGTCTTATAAGCGACTAGCCGTACTTGCCCGCTTCGCCGGGCATTTAAAATTAACATTATTATTTATTGTCATTATTATTAGCGAGTCCAACACTCATATAAATATTAGCCTATCCATTAAGTACATGTATTTTCTACATGGATATCAAGTTTCAAGTCAATCGATGCATGGTTTAGTAGTTATAATAAAACATCCGTAAAAACCACTGATAACCACTTTAGATAAAGACAGCAATATCTACTTCTCATAATTTATATGGTAGTCAGGCTCAACGCTTCTAAATTACACTAATCATGTTCAGTTAACGTGCAACAGCTGTGTCCAGTCTTTTATTAATGAAAGTACAAAAATAATCCATTCAATTTACTAGTACCACGCCACTCACATGATCAACATGCCGCTGTTTCAGTATTAAGACAGTCTGCTATTTAAAATTGTTATTACAAGTAGCCGAGAAGGAATTCATGAAATATTATTGTGATAGGTACTTAAAATAATGGAATGCTACACACGGTTTGTTTTTTCTTTTCACTTTATTATGAAACTACAGAAAAAAAATGTTAAATATAAATGTAAGAAATGTGTATCTTTTTGATATTGAAAATTTAAGTGGTAGTGTAAATATTTATAATAATAAAATGCGATTCATAGAATCAAAAATCGATGAAGTAAAAGAAAAAGCAAAAGAAGAAACAGTCCCTCCTTATAGCACGTCGCAATGGATATGGATAAAATGGTAGCTAAAAGTGTTTGGCACTACCTATTTATAAATAGATTCTATTTAGTTTACATTTCTCATAATCAAATAATATTATATAATGTGACAAAATAGAAACTTTATGGTGATTTACGGTCCGTGATATATTTATTATTCTAGTTCCAAAATAGATGAATTGCATTCAAAGAGTGCCAAAATTAACTATATTTATGTTATTATTTATAGCAGTATGAGGACTGTAACATTCGATAAATCAGTACAATTAGAACGCATTAAGAATTAAAGGTTCGCGTTGCGTCTAATGTTTTACGAGATCATTGGGTAACTTCTGTAATGCGTTTGGTGATGTGAAATGTGCTCACTAAAAATAGGGCATGAGCTTTGAAATTACACGCCTGTGGTAGGTATAGTTTGATCTCAGCATCTGCTTTTTACATAGGAACTACTCGCCGCCGAAGCAGGTTTGTTAGCATGGTGTCTTTTGAGCACTATGACGTGCTCTTCGAACGAGGTTTTAAAGACCCCTCTACGATAGGTGTTAAAGTAGGTGTCGATGAAGGACGGGGAAATTTAACCCACGACTTATTGATCCGTCGACGACGGCAGTAAAAAGCAATATTTTTGAAGAATTCTAATTTTAGCCGTCTTCAAGCGGAGATTCTTGCTTAGGGTCATATTATGTTTTTACATGAAATTGTCTATGTCTCGGAGTGAGTCTTGTAACGTATATGTTGATATTTGAGAGTTTCGAAACCATATACATTTTCATAAAGATAACACGATGGCAACGCGTTGTGTGTCCGGTCACCGTCCTCGCCAAACCCGTCGCTTGCGACGAAAGGCTCGATGAGTAAATTAACCCATAGACGCAGCCCACTGAGTTTCTCGCCAGATCTTCTCAGTAGGCCGTGTTTCTGATCCGGTAGTAGATTCTGCGAAGCACTGCTCTTGCTAGGGCCAGTGTTAGCAGCACACCCGGTTTGAGTCTCGTGAGCTCACCTACACGTCAAGGAGAAGCTGAAATAGCCTCTCAAGGCTATCAGCATAAGTAGGGGCAAAAACGGGTTGCACTCTATCTCTTGAACTCATATTGTTTCGTTAAATTGTATTTCCAACGAATATTCTTTATTAATTACATTTTCTTCTAATCAAGCAACAATTACAAACCGATCTAAACCTTGAGAAAATAAGTGCAATTAAATATAAGTTTTTTCTTAAAGAACAATAAGACCTGTGGTAATCGTTTTTGCGATGTAGTACTCAAATAATACAGCAATAACGACAAACAAAAGTAGATTTTAATCTGAAATGTGATAAGATTTTTTTAAGAATTTAAAGAATATTGAAAGAATTTTACAAGAAGAATTTTACCTAAGACTGTGTTCATACTTAAATTAAACTATTTAATATTAAACCAATTCTAAGTCTGAAAAAAGGATATTTTTTATCTAACAATCATAAACCGTAAAGTGCAGCGTTGTATGTATATTTGTAACTGTATTCTAGTACCTAAATAAACTGGAGTCTAGTTCAGTTGCGAAGAAAATATTTCGGCTTTTTCTCAATCGTGTCACTCTTGAGAGAGTGTTCGTGATCGTCATGTAGTGTTGGAGGGGGCAGACTTCATTCGTCTCACGATATCTCGCCACCTCTCCCTGCTCGAGGCCATTCTACTGCACTCATTTAGGGGACCTCTCACTGTAGTTTTAATTTATTCGGTCCACCGCATTCGTGATCTCCCGCGCGGCCTTGTACCATCCACCCTTCCCTGTACAACAAGACGTTCTGTGGATCGGCAATCTCGTCGCGAACTATAGCAAACAGACGCTGCTTGATGCCAAGCTTGGTGCCGAAAAATGTATATATATAGTTATATAATATAGACAGCTGTAATAACTTTGCGGGTTTCCGCAACCGACCAACTGGAGCACATAACTATTCAGTTGCAGATATAGCAGAACAATGGTAATTTTAATCAGACTGGTTATATTACGTACGCCTTAAACTAATATCATTAAAAAGTTACGATTTCGTAACAGAAACAGAAATATCACAGGCGCATGTGTTTTGTTACACACCACCTATGTTCGATTTTTGTAATATAAGCGTTAAATTTGCGTGAAGTGTTGAGTCTATTTGGTTATGATACAGTATTTTTCATAGTTTTCGTAAAGCTTTTAACACATTTAAAACTGAAACTTATGCTTACCACTTAGCGTCGTCTGTGACCATTAAAAATATCAAATATTGTAGCGGTCGGAATTAATTTCAAGACGATAAAAACGCGGCATTTAAGCGTAAAAGCAGTTTTAAATATGGTCATGGTACATATATGTCAATTCATTTTATTGCCTAAATCTATGAACGATATCGCGAATCTTCTGGTGTTTAGTGGTTGCTGGAGTTTACAAATACCACAATGCCACCACCACCGCTTCGTATGTGGTCGAAATCTCATTTGTATTATACTATAGTCTATAGATTGTCGCACCATTGAAATTGGAACGCATGATTCGCGTTATAGTAGGGGAGCCCACGATACTAAATGGAGTCCCCATATTCAAGCGTCATAGTGACCTATTGGCCTTATTTATGAGGTTCATATTTGGTGAAGGTACTTAACTGCCCCCTGTATATTAATCTGCCGCGCTTTAGTAAGTCCCGAAATCCCCCTTTGGGCTTCCCTATTATTAAAAATCAGGCAAGAATGAATATCTAAGTTATTAACATTTATTTTTTAATCATTTAACTATTCGATTAATGGTACAGACCAGATTGGAACGTGAATCGTATTTGTATCGCGAGCGATGTAATAGGTACATTGAAATAGCACCTGATGCGCGTGATTTGGAGTCTCGAATGCATGCAGGTTGGTTTTTTTGTTTTACATTGAGAACTAAAGATGAAGAAAACACATTTGATTCAGTAAAAAATAAGCACGTCATTAAATGTCACGTGGCCTGTATACTTCGTCTGTTTACAAAGGAAATTATACTCAAAAGGTTAGTTAATTTGATTTGCGGTATATATGCGGTGCTATATTCTTAAACTGTGCATCGGATTGTATTGTAACTTGGTACGATAGTACGGCACACCAAGAAAGTTTTCTGTGTCTTAGGTTTCAAACAATCTTAAGTTTTAACCAACGATAGGTGACGCTCAAGTTCACTCAAGATATTGACGTTTAACATGCGATTATGCATTTTCTCACTGGTGGTAGGACCTCTTGGGAGTCCGCACGGGTAGGTACCACCACCCCGCCTATTTCTGCCGTGAAGCAGTAATGCGTTTCGGTTCGAAGGGTGGGGTAGCCGTTGTAACTATACTGAGACCTTAGAACTTATATCTCGAGGTGGGTGGCGCATTTACGTTATAGATGTCTACTACTCTACTGTGGGCTCCAGTAACCACTTAACATCAGGTGGGCTGTGAGCTCGTCCATCCATCTAAGCAATAAAAAAAAAGATTTGCTATACTCGTAGTTAGCTATAGCAAGCGGTTGTAGTTTTTTTTTAAATAGCAACAACATCCGTTTCGTAACGTCAATCCACGCAATATAATTTATGAGGGACGTCTTACGGTCTTGGCGCAGAATATAATTTTATTTCAACAAAGTCACATGTAGGTCATTCAACTCGTTCATTCTTAAAAAATATCCAAAATGTATTTATGTGGAACATGAAATTATATACCTAACATACTTACGGGAGTCAACAAAGTATCAAGTGTATGAAGATTTGGATTTTGAACAGTACAGAATGATATAATACTATTTTTCTTCTATTTCTTTTTAATTATTTTATCAACGCCGTTTATCAGTTTTCCCTGTCAACTTCTTCTTCTTTATGTCTTTATAGTTTATAATGTATCAAACTAAGCAGCCACGGCAAACTTGTGGTTTCGCGGGTTAACATAGTACCTATACATTTTTCAATTGTTTCGAACGAAACACATCTTAACATAGCAGCTGGTCATATTTTGAGGTGAGTAGCCAGCTCTACTGTAAGTAGGTATAAAAATAATTACAAAAAATCTTGAGCTCTCTCCAAAATTTATAATTTCATCCAACCTTTCATGTTAGCATGGATTTTTCTTAGAGCACTTTGTTTCAATCTGAGGCCGAACTCTCATTTTCATTGACAAAAACCCACTATTCTCTTGGTTCTTCACATAATTTCTAAACATATTTCGTGTACAAACGTAATGAAATAAAAAAAACAAGTGGAACCAGGAAGGTATTACCTG